CGCGTGAACCGCCTTTCGCTTACATGGATTTGGAGGTGGCCGGTTGCGACAATTTGGAGAATTTCGCGCGCGTGTTTGCCGAACATCCCCGCGAGGCGGAGTGGTTGGAAAATGGTGGGGAATGGCACGTGAGTCGACTGAAGCAGCAACCACTGGCGCAAGAACGTGGACCCTGTGGTGTCTCGGTGACAGAGCCGAAGCGATACCTACGGGATCAACTTGCAATGCGCCCCGTCCCGCGAGCGGAGGCTTTACCGCTGAGCGAAGAAATGTTGACAGTGCGTGTGCTCGCAGTAACCATCACACCCGCACACGTGCGCGCACTCCGTGACGACGGACCCGACGAAAACTGGGCCAGTCTGCGCTGCCCCTTCGTCGGAGTCGTAGCCGCTGGAGAGGCCGCCGGACGTGTTGTAAGTGGCTGCAGCATTGGCGTGTGGCAGGCCTTCGCGGTCGTTGACGCCACGGAGTGTCAGGGACTGCCCCAAGACAACCTCTATCCTCTAACCAAACACCTTCCCGGGCGACGCTGTGTACATGTCAGCACTGCAGAAGAGATGGCGGAACAACTAAGCACACTCGAAGAGGAACAGGAACAGTTGTCTCCAGAGCAGACGGGTGTCACGGTATGCTGGCGGAGTCCGTTGAGTCGTCGGTTGTGTGTGGAGGACGTTTCGCGTGATGCGTACTTGGTTACCGGTGGTTGGGGAGGACTGGGTCTGACCACGGCCAGATTCTTGGTGCAGGAAGGCGCACGAACGCTGTACTTGGTGTCACGTCGTGGACGAGCGGTTGAGGAGTCTGCGGCGACAGTGTTCTTACGAGCGGCCGAACGAAGCGGTGTTCGCGTCGTGGGTGTCGCCGCAGATCTGGCGGAGCGCGAGGGAGTGGTGCGTGTGCTGGATCGTGTGGCGATGGATGGGTATGTGTTGCGAGGCGTGTTCCATTGTGCGGGTGTCTTAATGACTTCCCTATGAGCAACCAATCTAGGACACATATCGACGCTACATATCTCCCGAAGGCTGCAAGTGCGTTGTGGTTCGAGAAAGAGTTGGAAGCTAGGAGTGGCTGGGACCAGAAGTTGGAGCACTTTGTTCTCTTTTCTTCAGTAACCAGTTTGGTTGGTAACTACAGTCAAGTGAACTATGGTGCTGCGAACTCAGTTCTTGACTGTATCGCCAGCAGCAGACATGCACGTGGACTGGCAGGACTTAGTATCCAGTGGGGTCCTTGGACGGAGCAGGGTATGGCCGCGGAGCTGGTTGGGATTATGGAGAAGGTTGGCATGAGGGGCCTTAGTAATGACGCCGGGTTGCGTGTTCTGCATGCTGCCATGTTCGAAAGCACCCATGCTGAGTTCGGCGGGGCAATCGGCGCCCAAGCGTTTGTGTGGAAACGATTCCTCCGTCGTTACACTAACATGCCACGTTTCTACGGCGCGTTGCCCTCAACGTTGCTGAATTCGGGCGAAGCGGGCGACGTGATTGACTTGAGCAAGCTAACACACGAGGAGTTAGTCGGGCTGTTGGCGGACATCGCGCAACAGGTCAGTGGCACCTCGGAACGTCCTGATGCAGACACTGCCATGATTGACATGGGCTTTGATTCGTTGGGAGCCGTGGAGTTCCGGAACAATGTTCTGGACACAACTGGAGTGCGGTTGCCCCAGACGTTGGCATTCGAGAATCCGAGTTTAGGCACATTGGCGGACCATATTTTCGCCGCCGCTGGAGCCAGTGCTGCTGCTACCAGCGCGTCCAAGTCTGAGTTGCATGGAAAGGCGACGCATGAGTGGCTGTTGCAAGTTTTCGGGGTCGAGGCGGAGCGTGCAACACTGTACATCGAACCATTCGCGAACCACTTCCCCACGCTCGGCGACCTCATTGGTGTGGAAGATGTTGACACCGCTCTTCGGACAGTGATTCAAGTGGCAGACGAACGCGATCGTGGCACTCTAGCCATCGCATGGAACGAACTACAGGACAAGGCGTTGGGTCAAGCGGGTCAGACGGTAAGCGCAGGTGCGGTAAAGAGAACAGGAGCTAAGGTGCCGCATCCGCTCGAAGACTTGGCTATGCTGAAGGACGAACTGGTGAATGAGGGAGGCTTCATGCACTTTGATGTGAAGAAACTGCAGCCGATGACACCTGTGCGAGATACCAAACGTGTCTTACTCACTGGCGTTACCGGCTTCGTGGGACGATGCCAGATCGCTGCATTGCTGAAGCTCTCTCGCGAACGTGACATGGGACTTACCGTGTTCTGCATCGTGCGCGCACGATCCGTCGAACATGGAATGGAACGTATTCGTGAAGCTTGCGTGGAAGCTGTGGTGTGGGAGGACTGGTTTGCTGACCACATTGAGGTTCTGCCTGGCGATTTTACCAAGACCGATTTGGGAGTGGGTGGTGAGAAGTTCGACTGGCTTTGCAGGAACATCGATTTAGTGTATCATACTGGTGGTGATGTTAATTTGTTATGTAACTATAGCAAGGTGCGTGAGACGAATACGTTATCTGTGCGAGGGATCGTGAAGTTGTGCACCACGCATAAAGTTAAAAGTCTTAACTTCACCTCCACGTTGGGTCAGTACCCGGATCTATTTGGGTTCTTTACGAACGAGTTTGCCGACCGGTTCTTGCATGAGGACACAGGACCTCGTCTTGATGAGATGGAGAAGTACTTCCCGCCACAACGACAAGGGTACCCGTGGTCGAAGTGGGCTGCAGAGATGGTGATCCGAGAGGCGCGATCAATGGGACTCCCGGCACATATCTATCGACTACCTAACATGTATTGTGGCTATCGTACTGGCTACACCAACCGTACGGACTATGCTACGGCGTTGATGATAAGTACCATTCAGGAAGGTTGTTTCCCCATAAGTTCGGCGTTTGCTGTGCTGACTCCAGTTGATATAATTGCGGACATGGTTGTAGAGGGTGGTTTGTTACTTGAGCCGGAAACACGACAGCATTGGGTCTATAACCTTATCGATACGGCCTTAGTGTATATGAAGGATATGGAGGAATGGGCGGCCCGAGCGGGTGTGCAATATCGAGGTGTGGATTTGGACACTTTTTTGCAGCGTGTTAAGAAGCGCGGACCATCAAGCCCTGTTCATCGATTTGTACCACTCATGCAATACTGGCGTCAATACTGGTTTAGCCAAACACCTCGTGAAACACCTTGGCCAATTCGCACTCAGAATGTCTTCGATGACCTCCCACATCAAAAATGGCCGAAACAGGAAGATGTCTTCCGAGCATCCTTCTTGTACTGCGCAGCCCGAAATTACTTCCCCGCTGACTCTCTATCCGTCAGCATTGACACCGACAAGATCATTGAGGCCGCGGAAAAACAAACCGGACTCGACGACCCTGGTGATGACTTTGGCCTTATGCTTGAACCCGTACTGAAACCATTTAGTGATGAATTGACAGAGAGCAAAATATCTATTGGCGGTGGCGCTAACATGAGTTTCATAGGGAAGCTTTCACTCTTCAGAACTAGCAAGCAATACCTCATCAATATGCTTGTCATGACCGACAAGGAGAAGCTATATCCGGTGATTCGGCAACAAGTTATTCGACGACCTCTGGTGATTACCGGACTCAACCGGTCCGGTACCACTTTCTTACAGAACCTCCTATGCCAGGACAAGAAGAATCGCGGCGTACTCTATCTTGAACAAGTCGCACTGTACGGCGAAAACGGAGAATTCGATCAGCATGGGCTGCCTGACGACTATGACATCCGGAGCGATCCCCGTGGGCGGTATGCTCAGGACCTGTTGGACGCGCAACTTGGCATGACCGATGAATGGATGCTCATACACGCACAAGACGCATACAAGCCTGAAGAGGAATTCCTCATCATGGAACACTCCGGACGGTCTTACAGTATCTGCGTAGAGTTCGCCGTCAAGTCCTACCGCAACTGGCTACTTGGACTCGACCAACCTGAGACCGACCGGTTCAAGGAGCTCAAGGTGGGCTACGACTTCCATCATCGCTTCCTGCAACACCTGCAATGGCAACGCCGCGGTGGCGATCGATTCCTACTAAAGATGCCTTTCCACTTGTTTGCACTGGACGCACTGTTTGATAAGTACCCCGACGCCCAAGTCGTCATGACCCACCGCGACCCAGTAGAGGTAATGGGCAGCTGGTGCTCTCTGGTTACACACGCTCGCGAACGAACTAGCAACAACGTCGACCCCAAGGAAATTGGTGCTGTCGAACTCCGTGACATGAGCACCATGATTGACTGCGGTATCCAGTACCGGAAAGCCCACCCTGAACGAGCCAATCAGTTCACAGACGTCCAGTTCCATGAACTCATCTCCAATCCCATTGAGACCGTGAAAAAGATTTACGAGAAGTTCCAACTCCCTCTGGAACAGACCACCGTCGATGCTATGACCGAGTTCATCAACACCGACCGCGCACAGAAGAAGCAGAGACACCACTACACCCTAGATAATGCCGGACTTAATGAAGAGAAAGTCAGAGGGGCGTTTAAAAACTACTACGACTCAGGATTCCTGACTCTTCGTCCGTGACATGTAGTGTGTGCACACACTTTTGACATTGCGTCCGTGCAAACGGGTGATCACTGTGGCAACGCAGTATAGAATAGTTTAGTTTTAAATCAACAACGCGCACAGATACATCGTGGTTACAGAACATAGGGGTTAGCGCACATAGGTCCAATTTCACGGAGATAGGTTTTCCGTTGTGAATGGATGGGTGGCGTGTGGTCCAAAAGTTCTTGGGCTGCCGTGAGCGACAACCTCGTAATGAGTAACCTCTCCCCTCGCTTTATTCCTGATCACTTTGTTCCTGATCACTTTGTTCCTGATGGCTTCGCCTGATCGTTTCTGATCTCATCATACACACACACCTGATCATTCCCGGTGGCGTTGTTTAGAGACTGAGCGTTGCAACGTGGAGGTGTCTATAACACGGAGAAAGACGGTACCACTCAACGGTGACAGGGAGGAGGATTGGTTCAGTCTGTCAGAAGCTGAAGTGGAGTCTTGTGATAAAAAAAAGCGACTAGATCAGACTGTTGACGAGAAGAGACGGTTGGATGATGTCCCCAATCGCGGCCTCCCCGTTCTCGGGGTCCCCACCCGACCGGAGAGATATCGACCGGGACCAGAGGGACGTCGACCAGAGGAACCTCGACCGGAGGGACGTCGACCAGGCTTGAATGGTGATGACCGGCTAATGGAGGATGCCAGACCCCGCATCAAGGTGATCGATCCGGTGGTGAATGCTGATGGGGCGAGATTTCTTTTCAAGCACTATGAGCCGACTAGCACCACTGTTTCGGAGGAGGCGGCGGACAGTGGCATTGGGGACGACGACTTGTCGGCTGTGAAGAACACGGGGCGTCTGGAGGAATTGGCAAAGGGGGTGCCGCGGACCATTTCGAGCTCCATCACGCTCTACGATTACCAAGTGCTGGGTGTGGGGTGGATCATTTCTCTGTACGAGCAGCGGCAGGGCGGCATCCTGGCGTTCGATATGGGACTAGGGAAGACCGTGCAGGTGCTGTGCGCACTTCGCTTAATAGCGCAAAAAATCGACCGTACGACCCAACACCTTTCCCGGACTGGGGTTCAGCTTTCGTTCGATCTGGTCGCAAACAATGGGCTAAAAACAGCGTCTCAAGACAGCTCCTGCGCTCAAGACAGCTCCTGCGCTCAAGACAGCTCCTGCGCTCAAGACAGCTCCTGCGCTCAAGACAGCTCCTGCGCTCAAGACAGCTCCTGCGCTCAAGACAGCTCCTGCGCTCAAGACAGCTCCTGCGCTCAAGACAGCTCCTGCGCACAAGGCAATACGGCCGCACCGGCCAAGGCGCAGGGCAAGCCAAAACGGCCACTGCGACGGCGGTACTTCGTGGACTCCGACGAGGAGGAGGAAGAGGCAGCGCACACCTCAGCGAAGCAGACGGCTATGGGCGGACCTCCCGACTTCGGTTCTCCTGACTCTCAGTCGCCCCACTGTCGGTCACCACATCCCCGGTCGCCATCATCAAGATCTTCTCGGTCTGTTTCCGACAACGCGTTATTTGGCTCGTCTGATAATCCTTCTGACCACTCTTATGATCACTCGCATGACCACTCATCACACTATCCCGCTGATCCGATGGCGGAACCGCGGGCGGACTCGGGATCCAGGGACGGGTTGCGAGTGCTGCTGTTGTGTGGCGCTTCAATGTTGGACAGCTGGGAACATCACATGCGCGGGATCCTGCAAGCTAACTGGTTGATCTGTCGGTACCATGGTGGTGGGAAGACGGAAGCGTGGGAGGCCTTTGTTCGTGTTGAAGAGGGAGATCGGGACCGGGCTCGGGACCGGCCGGTGCATCGTTTATTGTTGACGACGTACGACACATACCGCGCGAAGAGCGACTTATTCACGGCGAATCGGTTCTGGGACATGTTCGTGGCTGACGAGGCGCAGGCGTTCAAGAACCGAAGCTCGTTGCTGTTCAAAGCGGTGGTGAAACTGAAGTCGCGTTCCAAGGCTCTGCTAACTGCGACCCCTATCATGAACCAGTACGCAGAACTCTGGGCGCTCCTGACGGTGATTGATCCCGGTATCCTGGGCCCCTACGAAGCCTTCGTCAAGCGCTACGGACCCATACTGAACTACAAGGGCAGCGGAAGTACCAGCTCCCAGGGCGGTAGAAAGGACAGCAGCTCCATTCTGGCTGAGTTCCGACGGCGGGTTTTACCTTATATTTTCCGTAAGGCGAAAATCCATCAAGACTCCGCCACGGCCTTGCAGGCCCTGGAAGCCTCGGAGGGCGCTGTCCCGAGAAATGCCGCCACGAGAAATGCAGTCGTGGGGGGCGAGGTGGGAATTGAACCCGGGACTTCGGCTTCCGAAGACGCCTCGCCTGTGCTGCCCGGCCTCGTAAACGTGGTGGCGATGTTCGAATTGTCACCGTTACAGTGGGACATTTACTCTCACTACCGAAAATTCAAGAGCTTCGGAGACCTACAAAAGGCCATGATCAACATCGCCTACTTGTCTCGTCTCTGTCTTCACCCAAAATGTTCCCTACCCGTCTTCTGGCGGGAGCTGGCTATGTGCGGAGACGATCTAGCTGGCGACGACCTGAATGGGAGGGACGACCTGGGCGGGCGCGGCGACCTGGGTGGGGGTGATAACCTGAATGAGAGGGAAGATCTTGTCACAGACCCGGTTTCAGAAACTGGCGCGGAGGCCGAGTTGGATTTGTTGGCGCGCGTGGAGTGTCTGATGACGGCTGAGGAAATGCGACGGGCGTGTCCGAAGCTGCAGTTCCTATGGACGTTTCTGGAAGGGCTGTTAGTCACGGAGCACTCGGTGTTGTTCTTTTCTAAATATCGACGTATGCTGCAGCTCGTGGAACAGACGGTATTGCAGCCGCTCCTACGAAGATGGTCGGACCAAGAGAAAGGGTGGGGCCAAGGGGGTTCGGACCCAGGGGGTTCGGACACAGGGGGTTCGGACACAGGGGGAGGGGGGTCGGACCCAGGGCCAAGGTGGCGCTGGGTGCGTCTGGACGGGACGATGGGTCCGGAAGAGAAGCAGCGTGCCGTGACGGCGTTTAACGGTGACCCGTCGTGTCGGGTGATGTTGTTGACAACTCGGGCCGGTGGCACTGGACTAACGCTGACTAAAGCGAATCGTGTGGTAGTATTGGACCCGTCATGGTGCAGTACGGATGATGAACAGGCAATCGGCCGAGCGCACCGCATTGGCCAGACACGGCATGTAGTCGCCTACCGACTCCTTTATGCAGGCACCATCGAGGAAAACATCTTCCATTACCAGCTGCATAAAACAAAGCTGATTAATAATGTCTTCAAAGAAGTTCATATACAACACCGACTCTCTCACGCAGATCTCAAAAACCTATTCCGATTAAAGCGCCCTCAAGACAGCACCCTCATCGCCATGTTCAAGCAAACTCTAACAGCTGACCAAGTTGACCTACTGCTACGCGCTATCAGCAAAGACCTAAAACCGGAGACCGACTCAGTACCAAGCAATATACCTACTAGGCTGCACGCTCTCGGGTTCTAGTAAGCAGAAAGGAAAACGCACCAAGCAGGGGAAGTGGGGGTTGCGCACACCGATTCTATGTTTTGTTTAGCCCTTTGGATGACGTCTTGGCCAAGAAACATTCTCGCTAGGCGCCATTCCCCTGCTGCCTGAATGCCTGACGTATCTCCCAAGAGACTTGGCTCCCTCTCCCTCCCTCCCTCCCTCCCTCCCCTACGAAGTTTTGAACGTGCAGCGTAATTGAACTGAATGAAACTAGCTAGCTATCTATCTAACCATTGGTCATTTCCCGGCTCGGCGGCCGGGCATCAGTTGCCGAAGGCGTTCCAGATTTTCACGGTGCCGTCACCGCCGGCGGTAGCGACGAGTCGGCGGTCCGGCGCGGGTGCCATGAAGAGCACGCGGGAGGTATGTCCGGTCAGCGTTTGTACTTTGCGTAGACGTAGTTTGCGTTCTCCGCGGGGTTTGAGATCCCAGAGGTTCACTTGGTTAAGAGTATAGCCGTGACTGGAGAAAAGTTCGAGAGTAGCTGGAGACCAGTGAAGGTTGCAGACCTGGCTCTCGGTCTCGATAGAACAGAGCTGCCATTTGGCTTCTGTGTTCCACACGCGCATTGTTCGGTCATTCGTACCACCGCCGGTAGCAAGAACACCATGTCGTGTAGGGGCCCAAGCCAGTGCCTTGACGGCCGCCGAATGGTCCGCGAACTTAGCCACCGGAGTAGCTGGCTGTCCCAACTCCCATAGAAAGACCTTATTGTCATTCCCGCCACTCGCCAATGTGGTGGCCGAATTGCGTGTGCCTGAACCGCGTGGCGCCGCCGCCGTTGCTCGACGTAAGGCACGTAGTGTCTGCCGTTGCGTCTCACGTAGTGAAACGCGCGCAACTCCGCGTGCACGCAAAGTCTCTGCTTCCAGGACTGACCAAAGCGAAGATGCAGGACGAGCATTCTCCTCCAAATCCGGAGCCCGGACATCAGCCAATATCAACTCCTCCAAGTCCGGACCCTCCGCGCTCTGACTATTCAGCGACGGGTCTTGCTGGTTAGCCGGTCGCCAAGCGAGACCGCAAACCTCCTGCTTATGCTTATCGATCTCAACGGCAGGTGCAGCCGAACGCACGTCGCTCACCACCAATGTCTTGTCACGACCACCACTGGCAAGCAATTGCGGGTGGTCCGGGACCCAATCCAGAGCACCCACACGTTGGCAATGGGGCGACAGCACAGCCACACAACGACCCACAGCCGCGTCCCAAATTTCCACGTCACCCGAACGCGTTCCCAGGGCCAAACGTCCGTCCGTACTCCATCGCACTGAGGTATATTCCACACGGTTCGAAGACGAGGATGTACTGCGCTCCGGCACAGGCGGAAGAGAAGCAATTCGTCCACTCGGTCGACCCTCGACAGCCGTAGCGCGCATCGCGGTCTCGGGAACGGCCCCGTCAACATCCGCCACCTGGTTTGCGCCGTTAACCGATTGCCCCATACTCAGGTCTCGAGACTGTCCCATCTCGCCGCCGTCCGTTATGTAGTCGTCCTCTTCCGCCTCGCCCATTTCTACACTGGGAAGCAGTTCGGGCGGGAAGCGCAGCGCCCCCTCCTCCTCCTCCTCTTCGGGCACGAGTGTCTGGCTTGCAGGCAGCGGCGTGCGCGCCAGCAACTGCGACGAGCGGCTCGGGCTGAGGCCGACGAAGGCGTTGAAGGTCTGAGCGATAACGTTCGCCAGTCCAGCGGCGCGTCTGCGCGGGTGCGACGGACTTCCGGGCACCAACGGCGTCCGGTCGCTGCCGCCGGCGCCCAGCGAGCCCACGACCGTCAGACTTGGATCCAGCAACAAGACCTCGCCAATACAGGCCATCGCAATCAGACCCGAATTTGGCGTCGTAAGACCGGCACCATTAAACTCTGACGGCCCTTGGTTGGCCGACAAGCTGCCCCAATGCAGGATGTTCAGGTAAAAGTCGTCTTGGATATTAGGCATCGTTTTCTCTATCACGCAACTCCGATGCACCTTCCGGCTGCGCTTATAGTCAAACATCGGGCACCGGCAGGACGGAAACACGTCGCAGAGGTACTGAACCTCCGCCTCCACGTCTCGGACCCAATTTTGCGCACCAGCACACGCGTGTGCGCGCGCCGGAGAATGCAAATATCCTTTCTGCAACAACGCCCCGTTGTCGCGCCCGCCACGCTCGTCGCGCCCGCAGCAGTCATACAACTCGTACGGCAACACGGCTTTCTCCCCCATTCGATCATTGCAGCCGCATTCAGGATTGTAGCGGTATGATGCGCTGTACATTCTGCCGATCTTACTGCCGATCAGCGGACCACGCGCCGGTCAGCGGTTTTTAATCAAAATTGGATGCTCCCTGACATCCTTGTGTCTATCGTCAGATCATGTTGTAGCTACATAAGGTAACCAATCTACCAGCCAGTTTTCCCACTCGGCCATCCCTTACCCCAAGCTTCTGACTCGGCCATGTTTTGTCTCTGTGTAGTCTCTCTCGCAATAAGTACAATGAAAATAGGTTGGCAACGACCCTGAAGGCTCAGGAGGAGGCCGCGACTCGAACCACCAACTCCGGCCGCACTGTGGTTACAAGTCAACTCGAGAGCTCCATTGGTCTCGATCAGCCCGGCATCCGAGAGGCCGCCAGCTTGGAGTTTGGCGCAGTCTCCTCGGACGCCGCTTCGGCCCAATTGCCCCCGTCGGCACCAGAGAGGTTTGACGCCGAGCCGCTGGAAGTAGACACCGGTACTGAGGATCCGTACCACGAGTGGGGAGAGACGCCGCTCCCCTCTGGTCTGCGCAGACTGCTAGACCGTAAACGACGCTCCGTCATCTGCCAGCTCGGGACCGGAATCTACTACAAAGGCGTCCGGCCCCTCTCCGATAGAGAGCTCCTTCTCGGTGAAGGCTGCCTTCCCGCCCGAGGGGCCAGGTCCCTTCCCGCCCGAGGGGCCAGGTCCCTTCCCGCCCGAGAGGCCGGGTCCCTCGAACGTCTCCCTGGATCTCTCCACGGTCGCCGAGTGAAGCCGGCCGCCGAGACGGCTCAGCTGGTACCCTGGCCGCCGGGAACCGTGCTCCCGCCGCCGTCAGGCTCGAAAAGACGCAAGCGTCCTCACGCTCTGTCCGACGCCGCACGACGGAAGCGCAGTGCGCCCGCAGGTGAGGGCGCGGTTGCGTGGGCCCGAGCGTCGCGCACCTGCACATCCGACATCGAGTCCGGTCTCGACCCCGACGTTGAGGACCAAGTCGTTGAGGACCAAGTCGTTGAGGACCAAGTCGTTGATGACCAAGTCGTTGAGGATCAGACCGTTGAGGATCAGGCCGTTGAGGACCAAGTCTCCGGGTCTCCGGTCGGAGACAAATCTCCTGCCGAAAAGTCGGTTGCGCGGGAGTGGCGTGAACGGGTGCAATCGGCGGTGCAGGGGGCAGTCCGAGAAAGGTTTCGATGTGATTGTGCGGCTTCGCATCGTCAGATGTATTCCTGGG